TCCTCCTCCTCTACCAGATGCTCCTGCTCCTCCACTCCTGTCCGCTGAGTGGAAAAACCACCCATTTCACTCAATAATTCCTGAGCACCAATGTCCTCCTCTACCTCCTCCTCTTCTTCCTGTCCTGCCCCCACAGGGGTCATGTGGCGTTGAGATCTGTGCGCCACATCTACCGCACCCTGACCAGCCATTGTTAACAGCATTTGTTCCAGGACGTGCAACAGAGGAATGACGTCGTTCATCCCATAGTCCTGCCGACTCACGAATAGCGTGGCCTCCTCAAAGGGCCTGAGCAAGCGGCAGGTGTCACGCATGAGCTGCCAATGGCTGACATCTAAGTTACACAGGGGAGTACCTTTATCCGCTTGTAACATCAGGAAATCGGTGATGGCCTTTCGCTGTTCGTAAAGGCGGTCTAACATATGTAGGGTTGAATTCCACCTTGTTGCAACGTCGCAGATCAGGCGATGCTGTGGAATTCCGTTCTGTCGCTGCAGCTCAAGGAGGGTGTGCTTTGCGGTGTAGGAATGGCTGAAATGCATGCAAAGTTTACGTGACATTTTAAGGATGTCTTGCAGTGGGATGGTGGATTTTAGAAACCGCTTGACAACCAGATTGAACACGTGAGCCATGCATGGCGCATGGCACAACCTTCCTTGACGCAGAGCAGACACCATGTTCTTTCCGTTGTCGGTCAACATGGTTCCGATTTTTAGTTTGCGCGGAGACAGCCATCTGTCGATTTCTCTGTTCATTACACTCAGAAGTTCCTCCCCTGTGTGACTACGTTCGCCAAGGCATACCAGGTGCAGCACAGCGTGACACCGTTGCGCCCTGCACATGTGAAATGCCGGTCGGGTAATGGGACTTGGCACGGGGGTGGCGGCTGAGGACACGGCGGAAGAAGAGGTGGTAGAGGCGGACATCTTTTCTGGACCAAGGACGTGCAAACGTGGAGGCAAAAGCGGCGTGACCTGTCCAAGTTGCTGGTGCGGCTGTGCCGGCACCACGTTCACCCAGTGGGCCGTAAATGACATGTACTGTCCCTGACCGTAGTTACAGCTCCACACGTCGGCACTGCCGTGCACTTTGGCAGAGACCGACATGCTCAAAGACTGGCCCACCAACTCTTCTACATAAGAATGCAGGGCTGGCACTGCCTTTTTGGCGAAGAAATGCCGGCTTGGCACTCTCCACCGCGGCGCGGCACAAGCCATCATTTCTCGGAAAGGTGCTGAGTCCACCACCACTTGGAAAGGGTGGGACTGCAGCACCAGCAACTTGGACAGGAGGACGTTCAGCTTTTGCACCGTCGGGTGCATACTCGCAAACTGTTGTCTCTTGGAAACGGATTCCAAGAAAGACTGCTGACGGAATCCGTGAAGAGGAGTAGCAGGAGAAGGAGCATCTGAACGAGCGGAAGATGCCAACGAGCGACAACTCCCCTCAGCAGAGGTGTTGGAGCCTTGACTGGCTGATAGAGGGCGATTGACGTCGGGTGACGGAGCAAGTAACGGAGCGGGTGATGGAGCGGGGGCTGGGGCAGGCAGAACCGCCGTATCTTTATCACAGTTTTCCCAGGCCACCGAATGGCGACGCTGCATATGCTGACGCAACGCTGTAGTCCCAACATGGGCCCCCTGGCCACGCTTGACTTTCTGGCCACATAGTCGACATACGGCTACGTTTACTTCCTCGGGCGGCTTGACGAAAAATTGCCACACCGCCGAGTAGGAAACTTTGCCCCCGCTACTCCTCACTGGCTGACTGCTACTTCCTCCGTGCACACCGGCACCACTACTGGCCGTGGTGGTAGGCTGCAGTGGAGCTGGTGCTCTACTCCGTGGCCGTTTGCCTCCACTGACACTGCTGCGACCCTGCTGCCTCCTGGGCAACCCACCGACTGTTTTGCTCGCTGCCAAGCTGGCACCCTCTTCTCCTGATGATGCGGAAGCAATAGCCTGATGACGACGAGGCTGCCAAGTGCGATCAGCCTCATCATCATCAATTAGGGTCTCCGCCTCACTACTAGCCCCCTCGGCTGCGTGTGGGTCAGGAGACAGACCTGTCTCTAGACCGGCTACCGAGCCACTCTCCTCGCCACTACTTCTTCGCCTGGCTGCTGAAGAGGCGGATGTCTCCCCCCGTTCCTGACCGCCCTCTGTTAGCTCTTCCTCACTGTACAGTGGGGCTGAGCCCACAGCATGCGATACTTCGCTTGGTGAGGGAACACCAAAGGACAGGGGCAGGTAGAGGACACGTGATTTCAGTGGGCTTGCTCCCGGGCCATGCCAACTAACGGTTGTGTCTGACGTACCCACCGACCGTTGGCTGTAGGTGTCAGAGGTGACCTGGGAAGAGGAAGACGACCGAGCCAACCAATCGATGACGGCAGGGTTGTCGCTGGATGACACCGGGAGCACTGGCCTCTGGCTGCGACTAGTGCTGCCTCGACCCCTTCCTCTGCTGCCACGTATGCTCGCTCTTTAATTCAACGATTCTGTGTCCCTGAGTAACGATTCTGTGTCCCTGAGTAACAATTCTGTGTCTGTCCCTGAGTAACAATTCTGTGTCCCTCAGTAACAATTCTGTATCCCTCAGTAACAATTCTGTGTCTGTCCCTGAGTAACAATTCTGTGTCCCTCAGTAACAATTCTGTGTCCCTCAGTAACAATTCTGTGTCTGTCCCTGAGTAACAATTCTGTGTCCCTGAATAACAGTTCTGTGTCCCTGAGTAACAATTCTGTGTCCCTGAGTAACTGTCAGGGCTCCCAGGTGTGACCAGAGGTGTGTGACTGACGCAGGGAAACGCAGACTTCAGATATGTGATAAACAATATAATTTATTAACACTAACAATACAAACATAAACGCAGTGCAATACTAAACATAATACAGTGCAAACAAACCAAACCAACCACCCACAGATAACAGTACATACAAGCAAGCGTCGTCAGGCAGGCCGGGTCGATATCAATTGGGCAGGTAGGTACAGGGGGAGCAAGCGGAGATTGGTCGGGGTCACAGGCCAGGTTCAGCAGGTAGCTAGCAGCGTAGTACAGAGGGTCAGGCAGAGGGATGGTCAGGGTCACAAGCCAGGGATCAGAACAGGTAGCAGGCAGCGTAGTACAGAGGGTCAGGCAGAGGGATGGTCAGACAAGCCAGGGATCAGAACAGGTAGCAGAGGATCAGAACAGGTAGCAGAGAATCAGACAGGAACAGAGAGCAGGAACAGGATACAGGGCCCAAGAGAAACACAACACCAAGGCAGAGTCTGCAAGTCTGGCCATCCCTTAAATACCCCAGCATAATCAGTTCCAGGTGTTAGCTGGCTGCAAAGTTGAGTCTCTAATTGCTGGGAGCATCCGCTGGCCAGCCCTGGTACTGCAGATCAAAAGGCAGGTGAGTCTCACCATTGCTGGCTAGTCCATTCCTGACAGTACCCCCCCCCCCTCAAGGAGCGGCCTCAGGACGCTCCAAACAGTCCTAGCTGGGCAAAATGTTCCACCGCCCGGGTCTGGTAACTGGCGGGATATCAAAGACTGGCACACCGGGCAGGACTCCGGGCAGCGGCACACCGGGCAGGGGCACACCGGGCAGAGGCACATTGGGCAAAGGCACACCGGGCAGGACTCCGGGCAGAGGCACATCGGGCAGGACTCCAGGCAGAGGCACATCGGGCTGGACTCCGGGCAGAGGCACATCAGGCTGGACTCCGGGCAGAGGCACATCGGGCAGGACTCCGGGCAGAGGCACATCGGGCAGGACTCCGGGCAGAGGCACATCGGGCAGGACTCCGGGCAGAGGCACATCGGGCAGGACTCCGGGCAGAGGCACATCGGGCAGGACTCCGGGCAGAGGCACATCGGGCAGGACTCCGGGCAGAGGCACATCGGGCAGGACTCCGGGCAGAGGCACATCGGGCTGGACTCCGGGCAGAGGCACATCGGGCTGGACTCCGGGCAGAGGCACATCGGGCTGGACTCCGGGCAGAGGCACATCGGGCTGGACTCCGGGCAGAGGCACATCGGCTGGACTCCGGGCAGAGGCACATCGGGCAGGACTCCGGGCAGAGGCACATCGGGCAGGACTCCGGGCAGAGGCACATCGGATTACCAGGCGAAGCAGCAGGCAGCGGGCCACCAGGCGGAGCAGCAGGCACCGGGCCCCCGGGCGGGGCAGCAGGCACCGGGCCCCCGGACGGGGCAGCAGGCACCGGGCCCCCGGGCGGGGCGACAGGCGTCGGGCCCCCGGGCGGGGCGGCAGGCGTCGGGCCCCCGGGCGGGGCGACAGGCGTCGGGCCCCCAGGCGGGGCGACAGGCGTCGGGCCCCCAGGAGGGGCGACAGGCATCGGGCCCCCAGGAGGGGCGACAGGTCTCGGGGCCCTCAGGCGGAGCGGCGGGCGCCGGACCCCCAGATGGAGCGACAGGTCTCGGGCCCCCAGGCGGAGCAACAGGTCTCGGGCCCTTAGGCGGAGCGGCGGGCGCCGGACCCCCAGATGGAGCGACAGGTCTCGGGCCCCCAGGCGGAGCGGCGGGCTCCGGACCCCCAAGTGGAGCGACAGGTCTCGGGCCCTCAGGCGGAGCAACAGGTCTCGGGCCCTCAGGCGGAGCGACAGGTCTCGGGCCCCCAGGCGGAGCGACAGGTCTCGGGCCCCCAGGCGGAGCGACAGGTCTCGGGCCCCCAGGCGGAGCGGCGGGCGCCGGACCCCCAGGTGGAGCGACAGGTCTCGGGCCCCCAGACGAAGCGGCGGGCACCGAGTCACCAGGCACGACAGTGGGCACCGAGTCGTCTGGCAAGACTGCGGGCACCGAGTCGTCTGCCAAGACTGCGGGCACCGAGTCGTCTGCCAAGACTGCGGGCATCGAGTCAACTGGCGGAACAGTGGGCATCGAGTCGTCTGGCGGGACTGCGGGCATCGAGTCGTCTGGCGGAACTGCGGGCACCGAGTCGCCTGGCAAGACTGCGGGCACCGAGTCGTCTGGCAAGACTGCGGGCACCGAGTCGTCTGGCAAGACTGCGGGCACCGAGTCAACTGGCGGAACAGCGGGCATCGAGTCAACTGGCAAGACTGCGGGCCCCCGAGTCGTCTGGCAAGACTGCGGGCACCGAGTCGTCTGGCAAGACTGCGGGCACCGAGTCGTCTGGCAAGACTGCGGGCACCGAGTCGTCTGGCAAGACTGCGGGCACCGAGTCAACTGGCGGAACAGCGGGCATCGAGTCAACTGGCGGAACAGCGGGCATCGAGTCAACTGGCGGGACTGCGGGCATCAAGTCGTCTGGCAAGACTGCGGGCACCGAGTCGTCTGGCAAGACTGCGGGCACCGAGTCGTCTGGCAAGACTGCGGGCACCGAGTCGTCTGGCGGAACAGCGGGCACCGAGTCGTCTGGCAAGACTGCGGGCACCGAGTCGTCTGGCAAGACTGCGGGCACCGAGTCGTCTGGCAAGACTGCGGGCACCGAGGCGTCTGGCAAGACTGCGGGCACCGAGTCGTCTGGCAAGACTGCGGGCATCGGGTTACCAGGTAATGACAGCGGGCACTGGGTCACCAGGCATCAGGTCATTTGGCTTGCCAGCGGGCACCGCGTCATCTGGCAAGGCAGTGGGCACCGGGTCACCAGGTATGACAGCGGGCTCTGAGTCAATTTGGCACGACAGCGGGCACTGGATCAGGTACCGGATCATCTGGATCAACAGCGGGCATCGAGTCAACTGGCCTAATAGGATCGTCGGGCTGGATCAGTTCATCATGCTGAGTAGCGGCATCAGGCTGAATGCAGGCATCAGGCCGAGTAGAGGCTTCAGGCTGAGTAGAGGCTTCAGGCTGAGTCACGGAAGGCAGGTTCACCGGTTTGGATACTGGCAGGATGGTATTGGTTGGAAAGAATTTTCGCTTTTTTTTCTCGTTTTAACTACTGGAGCACTGCAAGTAAACGCAGGTCTGCAAACGAATGGAGCAGCTGGAGACAAAGAAAAACTGGAGGATGGAACAGGAGAGGGAGCAGTTGCTACAGAGGGCTTTTTTACAGGGTTAAAGGCAGGATAGGTGCAGCGAGTGGGAACAGGGTACTGACATGCGGTAGATAGCCAAGTATACTGGGCTGTAACTGGAGGAGCTGGTGGGAATACAGGAGTAGAGTTAGAAGCAGGACTGGGTTTTTGTAAGCTGACTGAGGCTGGGTGCAACAAGTCTGTCCATGTCTGCAGTACGGGTTGAACAAAGCTGAGCTTACACAAAGCCTGTCTGGTCAATGACTGCACTGCGTTTATACAATCTCTTAGTGTCTGTGGTGAACATGTGGAATAACGCTCCAGAAAGTAACCCACATCATCCTCTAATAACCACACCAGGGACTCTACCTGGTCTGCACTAAATGGTGGCAAAAATTCATCCCTGCATTCGGGGGAACCAGATGAAACCAACTCAGCACAAATCTCAATCAAAGGCTGCACCTCAGAGAACTCTGTGCCCTGATCTACTAGAACATGAGCGAGCCGTATACATTCTAGTAGTTGATCCCGGATACTCCTTCAGAGTTTGATAAGCATACTCCCTGTCATCAAACACTAGCAGATATAAATACACAACCTCATCCAGATCCATCCTTCCCAGCAACAAGCCAAGATGGCTTCCCTGTGCAGCCACTTCTGGTCAGGATTGGCCTTGGTGTAATGTCAGGGCTCCCAGGTGTGACCAGAGGTGTGTGACTGACGCAGGGAAACGCAGACTTCAGATATGTGATAAACAATATAATTTATTAACACTAACAATACAAACATAAACGCAGTGCAATACTAAACATAATACAGTGCAAACAAACCAAACCAACCACCCACAGATAACAGTACATACAAGCAAGCGTCGTCAGGCAGGCCGGGTCGATATCAATTGGGCAGGTAGGTACAGGGGGAGCAAGCGGAGATTGGTCGGGGTCACAGGCCAGGTTCAGCAGGTAGCTAGCAGCGTAGTACAGAGGGTCAGGCAGAGGGATGGTCAGGGTCACAAGCCAGGGATCAGAACAGGTAGCAGGCAGCGTAGTACAGAGGGTCAGGCAGAGGGATGGTCAGACAAGCCAGGGATCAGAACAGGTAGCAGAGGATCAGAACAGGTAGCAGAGAATCAGACAGGAACAGAGAGCAGGAACAGGATACAGGGCCCAAGAGAAACACAACACCAAGGCAGAGTCTGCAAGTCTGGCCATCCCTTAAATACCCCAGCATAATCAGTTCCAGGTGTTAGCTGGATGCAAAGTTGAGTCTCTAATTGCTGGGAGCATCCGCTGGCCAGCCCTGGTACTGCAGATCAAAAGGCAGGTGAGTCCCACCATTGCTGGCTAGTCCATTCCTGACAGTAACATTTCTGTGTCCCTGAGGAACAATTCTGTGTCCCTGAGTAACAATTCTGTGTCCCTCAGTAACAATTCTGTGTCCCTCAGTAACAATTCTGTGTCTGTCCCTGAGTAAACAATTCTGTGTCCCTGAGTAACAGTTCTGTGTCCCTGAGTAACAATTCTGTGTCCCTGAGTAACAGTTCTGTGTCCCTGAGTAACAATTCTGTGTCCCTGAGTAACAATTCTGTGTCCCTCAGTAACAATTCTGTGTCCCTCAGTAACAATTCTGTGTCTGTCCCTGAGTAACAATTCTGTGTCCCTGAGTAACAATTCTGTGTCCCTGAGTAACAAATCTGTGTCCCTCAGTAACAATTCTGTGTCCCTCAGTAACAATTCTGTGTCTGTCCCTGAGTAACAATTCTGTGTCCCTGAGTAACAATTCTGTGTCCCTGAGTAACAATTCTGTGTCCCTCAGTAACGATTCTGTGTCCCTCAGTAACAATTCTGTGTCTGTCCCTGAGTAACAGTTCTGTGTCCCTGAGTAACAATTCTGTGTCCCTCAGTAACAATTCTGTGTCTGTCCCTGAGTAACAATTCTGTGTCCCTGAGTAACAGTTCTGTGTCCCTGAGTAACAATTCTGTGTCCCTGAGTAACAATTCTGTGTCCCTCAGTAACAATTCTGTGTCCCTCAGTAACAATTCTGTGTCTGTCCCTGAGTAACAATTCTGTGTCCCTCAGTAACAATTCTGTGTCCCTCAGTAACAATTCTGTGTCTGTCCCTGAGTAACAATTCTGTGTCCCTGAGTAACAATTCTGTGTCCCTCAGTAACAATTCTGTGTCCCTCAGTAAACAATTCTGTGTCTGTCCCTGAGTAACAATTCTGTGTCCCTGAGTAACAGTTCTGTGTCCCTGAGTAACAATTCTGTGTCCCTGAGTAACAGTTCTGTGTCCCTGAGTAACAATTCTGTGTCCCTCAGTAACAATTCTGTGTCCCTCAGTAACAATTCTGTGTCTGTCCCTGAGTAACAATTCTGTGTCCCTCAGTAACAATTCTGTGTCCCCTCAGTAACAATTCTGTGTCTGTCCCTGAGTAACAATTCTGTGTCCCTCAGTAACAGTTCTGTGTCCCTGAGTAACAGTTCTGTGTCCCTGAGTAACAATTCTGTGTCCCTGAGTAACAATTCTGTGTCCCTCAGTAACAATTCTGTGTCCCTGAGTAACAGTTCTGTGTCCCTGAGTAACAGTTCTGTGTCCCTGAGTAACAATTCTGTGTCCCTGAGTAACAATTCTGTGTCCCTCAGTAACAATTCTGTGTCCCTCAGTAACAATTCTGTGTCTGTCCCTGAGTAACAATTCTGTGTCCCTCAGTAACAATTCTGTGTCCCTCAGTAACAATTCTGTGTCCCTCAGTAACAATTCTGTGTCTGTCCCTGAGTAACAATTCTGTGTCCCTGAGTAACAGTTCTGTGTCCCTGAGTAACAATTCTGTGTCCCTGAGTAACAGTTCTGTGTCCCTGAGTAACAATTCTGCGTCCCTGAGTAACAATTCTGTGTCCCTCAGTAACAATTCTGTGTCCCTGAGTAACAGTTCTGTATCCCTGAGTAACAATTCTGTGTCCCTGAGTAACAATTCTGTGTCCCTCAGTAACAATTCTGTGTCCCTCAGTAACAATTCTGTGTCTGTCCCTGAGTAACAATTCTGTGTCCCTCAGTAACAATTCTGTGTCCCTCAGTAACAATTCTGTGTCTGTCCCTGAGTAACAATTCTGCGTCCCTGAGTAACAGTTCTGTGTCCCTGAGTAACAATTCTTTGTCCCTGAGTAACAGTTCTGTGTCCCTGAGTAACAATTCTGTGTCCCTGAGTAACAATTCTGTGTCCCTGAGTAACAATTCTGTGTCCCTCAGTAACAATTCTGTGTCTGTCCCTGAGTAACAATTCTGTGTCCCTCAGTAACAATTCTGTGTCCCTGAGTAACAATTCTGTGTCCCTCAGTAACAATTCTGTGTCCCTGAGTAACAATTCTGTGTCCCTCAGTAACAATTCTGTGTCCCTCAGTAACAATTCTGTGTCTGTCCCTGAGTAACAATTCTGTGTCCCTCAGTAACAATTCTGTGTCTGTCCCTGAGTAACAATTCTGTGTTTCTGAGTAACAGTTCTGTGTCCCTGAGTAACAATTCTGTGTCCCTGAGTAACAGTTCTGTGTCCCTGAGTAACAATTCTGTGTCCCTGAGTAACAATTCTGTGTCCCTCTGTAACAATTCTGTGTCCCGCAGTAACAATCCTGTGTCTGTCCCTGAGTAACAATTCTGTGTCCCTCAGTAACAATTCTGTGTCCCTCAGTAACAATTCTGTGTCCCTCAGTAACAATTCTGTGTCTGTCCCTGAGTAACAATTCTGTGTCCCTGAGTAACAGTTCTGTGTCCCTGAGTAACAATTCTTCTGTGTCCCTGAGTAACAGTTCTGTGTCCCTGAGTAACAATTCTGTGTCCCTCAGTAACAATTCTGTGTCCCCTCAGTAACAATTCTGTGTCTGTCCCTGAGTAACAATTCTGTGTCCCTGAGTAAGAATTCTGTGTCCCTGAGTAACATTTCTGTGTCCCTAAGTAACGATTCTGTGGCCCTAAAGTCTCTTTGGCCGTAACTCTGTCCCTAATACAGAGAGGTCTGTCTCTCTTGAATGACCGGAGGCTAATGGAGAATTCTAAGATGGCCGCAATTTATAGCTCGACCATTACACAGTGCTGGCTGGCTGGCTGCTGATTGGCTAATGCAATCACATGTCATGAATGAATGCATTATGGGTCAGCGCGCCTTGTCTGCGCGCCTTCCCAGAGATCCCCGCTCCGTCGCCACACATGTCGCCGCCATTTTTGGAAAATTTCGATTCGCGCATCCGAAGTCTGCTAATTTTCGGATTCGGAAAACAGAATTGTTACTGAGGGACACAGAATCCTAAAATTCGAAACGAATTCCACTTCGCCAAGTTCGATTCGCTCATCTCTAGTAGCCATTCTTGGAAACCATGCTATAGGCAAAAATGCACCCACATTTAAGTGAACCAACCTGAATATAAGAAATATATTTCTATACAGTATTAAAAAAAAAATAAATATATATATATATATATATATATATATATATATATATATACTCAATTGCCAAAAGTAATAAACTTTAATGGCGTCCCAGTCTTAGTCCGTAGGGTTCAATATTGAGTTGGCCCATCCTTCACGGCTATAACAGCTTCAACTCTTCTGGGAAGGCTGTGCACAAGGTTTAGGAGTGTGTCTATGGGAATGTTTGACCATTCTTCCAGAAGTGCATTTGTGAGGTCAGGCACTGATGTCGGATGAGGAGGCCTGGCTCGCAGTTTCCACTCTAATTCATCCCAAAAGTGTTCTGTCGGGTTGAGGTCAGGACTCTGTGCAGGCCAGTCAAGTTCCTCTACCCCAAACTCACTCATCCATGTCTATATGGACCTTGCTTTGTGCACTGGTGCGCAGTCACGTTGGAACAGGAAGGGGTCATTCCCAAACTCTTCCCACAAAATTGGGAGCATGAAACTTTCCAAAATGTCTTGGTATGCTGACGCCTTAAGAGTTCCCTTCACTGGAACTAAGGGGCCAAGCCCAACCCCTGAAAAACAATCCCACACCATAATCCCCCCCCCTCCACCAAAACTTTACACTTGGTACAATGCAGTCAGGAAAGTACCGATCGCCTGGCAACCACCAAACCCAGACACGAGCATCA